CTTCAAGTTTGAGCGGGGTTGAGAAACGCTGCCTTAGAGACTGCTGCTCAATCTCAGCCACTTTTAAGATATGTGATCCTCAATTTCCGGAAATTTCCTAGCCAGCATGAAGTAGTTCAAACTTTCCAGAACAATCTCGAGCTACTTCGTAGTTAACTATAACTTCCCCAACAAAGGAAATAGTAGTTAAGTTTGAGCTAGTGGTTAAAGCACCAGGCTAGAAAGTGGAAGAGCGTGAGTTCTAGTCTCGCCTCAGGCATGAAAGATGACTGGGTGACTTTGGGCCAATCACCAGGAGATGGTGAGTTCTAATTCCACCTTAGCCATGAGAGCTAACTGGGTGACCTTGGGCCATCCATCTCTCTGAGCCCAACTCATCTCACAAAGTTGTTTTCCCCAAAGTTGTTGGGGAAATAGGAGGAGGAGGAGGAAGATGTGTGTTGGATATGTTCGCCGCTTTGAGTTATTTGTAAAAAAAGTGCTTTAACAGCCTAAAATGTTGTCTGCCTTTAAGGCAAATGGATTCAGTTGGGCTTAGAATGAAGCCTAGCTTATTTTTCTCAAGGACTGATGTTTTGCACTGTAACACATCTGTCTGGCTCTGGCCAGACTAAAGATAAGGAATCTATGGTCATCCACCTATTACACATTTCAGAGTTCTTAGCCAATCTAGTAGCAAAGCATGTTGGGAATTGTAGTTTAACTACACCTGGAGGATCAGAGGTCTGTGATTGTTGTAATACTAGTAATCGTGATCATAACAAGCCCGTGATATCAAATGGTTCATAGATTAACTCCTGCAAATCAAATCACAATGAAAGGATCAAGAATAAGAGCTGGGCAACTCCAGGAAACAAAGGACTGGAAAGCAAACAGCTCTGTAAATGATCTCCCTGGATCTCCAAGCTTGATCACTTCTGCTGCTGTTCCTTTAATTAGGCAGTTTTTCAACATAATCAACATAATTCAACTAGCTTCACTTTGGGCAAATCTGTAATTCTCCACAATAAATACTGTGGTTTAAGCTAAAACGGATCACTTTGAGCAATTTATTGTTCAGTGTGAGCAAGATTGCTCCCCCTGCAGGCTTTGGTGAAGCAGAAATAGAATAGTGCACCATAAAATAAGGAAAGGGGTGATAATGATTTTTAGGTTTTAAAAAAGGAAAGATTCAAGCACATTTTAATTTCTGCAGGCAAAAAGGCCACATTTCTGTTATAGCAATTGTACACAACACTGCATCTTTATTTTATATTATGGTGGAAGAGTAAACGGAAATTTCCGTATCCATGGCAGAATGTACTGTAAGTCTCTCGGCTGTGGAAATTTTTTAAGAACAAACAGGGACTTCCATGTAAAAGGTATTGTTTGAGTGAGTGCTAAAAAAAGAAGTTACCTGAGATGGAATGTAAAATTCCACATCTCTGTATCTGTACATCTGGATTTCAGTTTCATGTCAATCAAAATGCAGGCTTTTTAGCTTTATATCTTGAGGCACTGGGGAGAACTGAAACATTTTTCAGAAGTGCAAGTTTGCAACTGAATCCCTTTTTAGATAAACATGAACACATAAATGTGAGTTTTAGGTCTCACTAAAAGAAAGAGAAAAAAAACAAGCATTTATGCTGTTTTGTCATGACCGACTGCTTTGATACAGAACAGCCTAACGCAGTGATGGCGAACCTTTTAGAGACCGAGTGCCCAAACTGCAACCCAAAACCCACCTGTGCATCGTCGGGTGCCGGGTGGGTATGGCCCATTGGGTGGGCGTGGCCCATTGGGTGGGCGTGGCTGCAGTGGTAACAGCAGACTGGGTGGGACTAAAAAGTTCAATCAATCAATTCCAACTTTGCGAGATCTTTTTTTCCCCGTGAGAAGTTGAAATTGACTGATTTATTGAACCTTTTTTTTTTGTACACAGAAGCAGAGGCCTAAAGTGAAAAGGTTTTATAAAACCCAGCTGAAGGCCTAGGACTGGGGCGACGGCGCACGTGCCCACAGAGAGGGCTCTGAGTGCCACCTCTGGCACCCGTGCCATAGGTTCACCACCACTGGCCTAACGTGTCCAGTTTTTTAACATTCAAAAATATTCCTACATCTTCTCTAGAAGAAAGGAATTTACACTGCCAGTCCTTCCATCTCACTATAGGTCAGGGGTAGGCAACCTTGGCTCTTTTATGACTCGTCGACTTCAACTCCCAGAATTCCTGAGCCAGCAGGGCTCAGCTTGGAAACTTCTCCCTTTCTCCTCAGCATGGCTGGCTCAGGAATTCTGGGAGTTGAAGTCCATGAGTCATAAAAGAGCCAAGGTTGCCTACCCCTGCTATAGGTCATCCTCACCTTCAACCATTCATTCAGCGACCGTTCAAAGTTACAACGGCACTGAAAAAAGTTACCAGTCCTCACACTTACAACCGTCACAGCATCCCCTGGTCATATGATCAGAATTTGGCTGCTTGACAACCAGCTTGTATTTATGACAATTGCAGCTTCCTGGGGTCATGTGATCACAATCTGCATAAGCAAAGTAAAGGGACGGGGAAGCTGGATTCATTTAATGACCACAAGATTCACTTAACACATGCAGTAGCTCACTTAACAACTGTGGTAAAAAAAAAGGTCATGAAACTGTGTGCGATTCACTCAACTGCCCTGCTTAGCAACCAAAATTCTGGTCCAATTGTGGTTGCAAGTCAAGGATTATATGTACGTTTTCCAGGTTCGCCGCTAAAGAAGCACGTAGCCTGCCTTGAAGCAAACCAATATAAGGCAAGAGTAAGAAACTTGTAGTCTTGCAAACATCAAACTACAACTTCCAGCAATTGCAGCATAACAATTACGAGGGTTTGTTGTGAATGGAATTATATTACTAGTTGGTGGAATTTACATACTCCCAACACCTTCTTATGCAAACTTTCTCAAAATTGTTTCTGCACACGGTACAAATATGTGCCCTGGATCATGTACAATTCATTCAAATCTCCACTTTCCTCCTAGAAAAGTTTTTTTCATCATATAATTACTATTAACTTCCAATATTATTCAATAATTCCTAGAATTAATATATGTTGTTTTTAATGTATAATTTCTCTAATAATATCTAATAATGATATGCTTTCTTAGTATGACTAATTTTAATGCCTAACATTATCCAATAATTATTAACGTATATTGATGGACCTGCTCTTAATAACTGTTTGCTAGTCATATCATTGCCATGTTTATCTAGCAATATCTTAAATTTTCCCTTAATATTGTTACTTGTAATATTAGACTTCCTTACAATATTAGCATTTTTAACATGGGAGTCTAGGTGTCTTTTCTAACCTTAGGAAAGCATTTAATTTTCCTTCTTCTTGGCCAAGAACATTTCTTTTGGTATGAGAGAACTTTAGAAACCAAACAATGGAGAGCATACTCTGAAAGTCCTTGCATACACTTGCAATTCTAAAAGATACAAACCCTTATGGGAAAGACTAATGTAACCCACTTGTGGAATGTGGACTAATTCTCCACTTGTGGAATGTTTACTAGGATCAGTGCTTTCTATTGTTCAAGTCTCACATGCAATCAACGTGTTTTATTGTTCATTTTCTGAAGTATCACCCCATACCAAGTATATGCAGCATTTATTTCCTTACCTTCTAAAAATACTCAACCCCTCCCCTATTAATTGCTTTTTTTTTACCTGAATTACTTGCAGTTCATATTTTCAGACAGGTGAAAAATCCGTCTTTGCAAAGGTAAAATTGTTTTGTCCCCCAAATTCAGGGAGTAGGTCTTCAGATCCATGCAAACTGGGTGCCTGAGATTATAGCCAACAGTATGGTTTTGGGGTAATAATGCTTCACTTTATCAAGTAATAGCTAATCTCATTAATATATACTGATGAGTGCTCCTATAAATGTAACACTTTCTAACCATATTATTTGCATTATCTCGTAATGATACAGAGTACTTTTTCTCAGTAAGACTACCTAGTAACAATGCCTAATGCCATCCAGTAACTGCCAAAATTACTAAGATCTGTATTTTGATTCTGTAATAGCTTTATACCACAAAGTATCAACCTTGTTAACTCCTAAGGTTCTTTTTTCTATCTATTCTAGTCTGATTTATATGTGTATGTGTGTGTGTGTATGTGTGCATATATATGTGTGTGTGTGTGTGTGTGTGTATATATATATATCTCATATGAATGTGTATGGATGTTTGTGTGTGTATATATAAATATGTGTATGTATGTATGTGTGTCTATATGTAAATATGTGTGTGTATATATAAATGTATGTATATATGTGTATGTATGTGTGTGTGTGTGTGTATATATATATATATATATGAGTCTTTGGTCATTCGGGTTTTCTCCCGTGTAAGATTAGAAGTATCATAGCGACGTTTCGATGAAATCACATTCATCATCATCAGGCTTGTGCTTCAGAATTTCATTTTTTAATGTGTGCCAGTGTGTTCACAGAAAAAAGTGACAACAGAGCTTATTTATATTCGCCTTCATTCATAATAAGCCTTATCTTAATACGCTCTGAAGGGAGACGAGCAAAGAACGCGCCCTTCCAGCTGGGCCCGTCTCTGGCCAGGCCCTCCTCGAGTTGGGGTCGAGAAGCAGCCGCCTCGGGGGCGCCTCTGGGGCAACCCAAAGGCGGGACGGGTCGCCCTTCCTTCCCAGGGTTGTGAGAAGGGCAAACCTTCTCCATAGCGACACGTGGCTCCAACTTCCGATCAGTACCGGAAGTCGCCGTGGTTACAAGGCCGGCCGGTAGACTCCACGCGTTGTCGCTCTAGGATTCGGCACTCTATGGCGTAACCCCTTCCTTCCTTCCTTCCTTCTTCCTTCCTTCGGAAGCCAAGCGGCTCCGTTCTCGGTCCGGTTCGCCCGTCATCCGCCGGATATCTACGCAGAGTGGATGAACCGCGTTTGTTCCTGTCCTCTCGCGCGTCCGAAGCCGAGCCGGAACTGTCGGAGAGGACACCTGCAGTTCACCGGAAGGCGTTGGGAGCCGGACCGGAAGGGAAAACGGCCTCTGACGGCGCTCGTGGCCTCCGCCCGGGAAGGACGCCGCCGGCATGTCCGCCTTCGTGGTAAGAGAAGCCCCGGCGCCGGACTACGATGCCCATCCTCCCCGGGCAGGGGGCGGAGGATGGGCCTTCTGACCCGAAGCAGGGTGGGAGGAGAGCGCGAAGGCCGGGAGGAGCGAAGTTAGGCTTTTATGGATGAATATTTGTGTAACATTTTACCTGCGTTATATGTATTTATTGTTATGTGTACGTGTGTGTGTGTTTGTCGACTTCTTGGGCCAGTCTCCATATATTTTCAGTATGGATTTCTTTCTCTTCTTTTCCTTATTGGATTTTTTTAAATATTAAAATAAAAAGAAATTAAAACAGAATTGTTTTCTTACCTAAAAAAATAAAGATGTCTTTAAAACATAGGGAAAAGACTATGCTTTATGAATTAATGTATTTTTTCCAGTGAAAAGGTTAGTTACCTTTAAGAAAGTTCACAAGTCAAGCATCCAACAAGGAAGGTTTTGGGTTTGGAGGTGCATGAAAGTGGCTTGTTTACGTGGCCTGACTTTTGATACACCCTTATACCCACACACACTTGTTTGATTGTAGTGGAGCCTGCTTATTGTCTAGGACTGTGGTTGCACAAACACAGCTTAGTAAGTAAATATTCCTTACCAAAATAACTTCCCGTGAGATAAATATTTCTACATGGTTCATTTCAGTCATCAGTGTCCCATTCAGACTCTACTACAGCCTTCCAGTTTATGTGGTTTTTAGGTGTGAATTAAATTAGGATTGGATATATTGTAAGCTGCCCAGAATCTTTTTGTAGATGGGCAGCCTCATTAATCCCATTAATAAGTGAATAGGGGCCCTGGTCAGAGAGATGTGAGTTCCAATTCCTTCTCAGTTGTGGAGTTCCCTGGGTAACTTTTCACACACACATGCAAATAGAGTTGCAAACACGTTTCCCTAAGGTTTATGTGACACAAGAAACCAAATGGGCTCGTCAAGTTATATGAATCCAAGAGGGTGTTATAAACCCCCATTGGGGTGTGTGGTCCTGAGCCCCAAAATTATCGTGAGTTCAGAAAATGACAGAATGATATAATAATAAATGTCAGATTTTGTGTGAAAGGAACCGGAATGTTTCTCTGCTACTTTTATATGGTTCTGGAGCTAACAATGAAGGGAGAGACTCTGTGGAAATTGTAAATATTTCAGTTGCACTTTTTCCTTTCATTGATGGGGAATGTAATAAAGAAGCAAAACATGGCTGAAGGAGAGAGGAAAGTAGACTGTGGTTTTTTTTATAAAAAAAAGGATACCAAAAACAGTTAATAATGGGAGGAATGTGGTTGGTTACTTCTCATCCATGTTAGACTTTCAAGCAGTTTTTGTTAAGGGTTTCAGCAGATGGCAGCATCTGGCAAGTTCAAAAGTTTAAAAAGACTGCCTCACAAGTGGTTAGAGGGGACGCTGCCAGGAAATCCCCTGGCTTTGGCCCAGCAATGTCTATAATAAACTATGGTGGCCTCAAACTCACCTTATTGGCAGGACTTTCTCTCCCCACCGACACCCACTTTGGCGTCTACCTAGGTCAGTGTTTCTCAACCTTGACAATTTTAAGGCATGTGGACTTCAACTCCCAGAATTCCACAGCCAGCAATGCTGGCTGTGGAATTCTGGGAGTTGAAGTCCACATGCCTTAAAATTGTCAAGGTTGAGAAACACTGACCTAGGTCCTAGGAAATTCAGAAACATCCCAGGAGATAATTGAAAAGCACTCATACAGGAATATTGGAATGCAGTTTGGCTGCATTGAAAACTGTGTTGCTGGATTGTTAAGCAATTCTTTTAAGGTCGACCTCATAAAAACCATAATGAGGGAAAAACCACTAAGGAATCATCTAGAAAATGTTGTGTTGTTTGATTTTTTTCTATTGATTATATGCCATCAGCAGCCACATAAACTGGTTTTCTCCATGATGATGTGTCCCTAATCTGGGCTTCCAAAGGTGTGTTCATTGCAACTGCAACTGAGTCAAGTCCACCTATTGCTGATTGTCTTCTTCCCTTTCCTTCCACCTTTCCCAGCATGAGAACCAGTTCCAGGGAACTACATAATATTCCCAGAATAGGATAATTTGGGTATTTTACTGCTAATGTGTACTTTTTACTGCTTTTAATTGCCAAGATATTTATTTTTTTAATAGGGACATAAAAAGGGAGGTTTTTTCTCTTAGCAAAAAATGAGGTCACACATTCTGGCAGTGGTACAGATTTAGTGTGCTGGATCATTTGGAACCCATTTTAGGATCTAGACAATTTTCAGGACAGTTGGAGTGGTCTTTTTTGGGGGGGGGGAACAGAGCAGCCTGCTTTGACTACAAGTTAGTAAGTGATGGTGTATCTGTACACATTGTGACATAAAGGCCACATGTGTTCTGACAGTTAAATATGGGTCTGCTAGCACTTGGCAGAGTAGAATTGCTAAATCTGGGTAGCATATGAATGATGTCCCTTGAGGATAATTCCATTTAACTATGTGGGTTTAATTTTAGGACTTCAAAACCTATGTGGATCAAGCATGTAGAGCAGCAGAAGAATTTGCAAATATTTATTATGAAACCATGGATAAAAGAAGGCGGGTATGTAGATCTCTACTAGCTATTTTGTTAGTTAAGAATGTATGGTTGTATATATTTTCCTTTATTACTTTTAGAAATACCTCCCTGTTTACATTCAACTAGGAGTCAACTAGAGCCAGTTTGAGGTGGTAGTTAAGGCATTAGGCTAGAAACTGGGAGACCGTAAATTGTAGTCCCACCGTGGGCACTAAGTTTCAGAGTACTAATCTATCAGTTTGTGGGGAGCAAATATTTAACCGAGTGGAATTTTCCCAGGGAACCTCTTTTAAGAATTCTTTTGAGTATCTTGTAAAAAAAAAAAAAAAAAAGGCAGCAAGTTGACTGTAAGACAAAAGGAGATTTTTCAGTGGGGACTTGTGAGTGGAAAGGGCAAATCCCGCTGGTATTTCTCATACTGTTTTCTAACGTTCTGCAGATATTAACCAGACTCTACACCGATGATGCGACTCTAGTTTGGAATGGGAATGCCGTATCTGGCCAAGAAGCTCTTGCCAAATTCTTTGAGATGTTACCATCTAGTGACTTTCAAGTGAACACGTTTGATTGCCAGCCTGTTCATGGTAAGATAGCCTAAGAAAAACAGCGCCACCATCCACAAAGTTATTAATATGCACTGGTCTGGGTAATCTTTTCCGATGGTGTGAAGGACAAACAGCTCTTCCCTGAAATGCAATGAAAATATTTGAACTTATACAACTAGGCGCTATCTGAACGTTTCCACAACATCTGTAT